CTGGTGTCTTATGTAGTAGAAATACATGAACAAGAATGCCTGCACTGTTGGAATTGGATGACGATCGTTGGCACTTCGCAGAACAAAAAATTGGTATGATTTGGGTCTCAGAAAATCCTGCAGCTTCATGAAAATGACACTGTAATTATGAATAAGAAACAGCTGCAAACAAGCAGTGGTTTGACAGGGAGTAGCCTTGCAGTTGCAAGCGGTTGTCACCTTATATGGAGGCAACATTTGAAGAACTAGGAGTCTTTTTTTTCAAATACGGGGATAGAGTTGCTGAGCTGGGCATTTTGCTGGACAGAGCTTCAGACAGACAGTAACAACAGCAGGTCAAGATGGCTGAGCCTTAGAATGTGGCTTAGTGTTTGAGTGCAGGTGTCGCAAAGTCAACCTGTTCAGAGAACAGAGTATCTGTTGAACATTTCTTATTAACTTTAAGTTAATAGCTTAGTTTGGTATTATAATTGATATATGCTTCCATGGGAAAGAGAGATGTGCCAAGAGCTGGTTTGAACCAGTTAAATTGTTATGTTATGAAAATATATGGAATATGGATGAGTTAGAGTTGAATGACTCAGATTTTCATCAGACTTTTTGGCTCTGGGAGATGTGGAGCAGCGTCTCTTCTTGAAGCGCAACCAAAGAGTATGGCAACTAGCACTTGATAGTCCAGTAGCCTGGATTGTCAGTCACTGGGAAATACTAGTCACAAAGTTGGCGAAATGAATGACCAGAGACACATTTTGTGTTTTGTGGACACTTGTCTTTCCACTGGGACAGGTGGATAACCAGGCAAATAGTTCCAGTTCTCTGCTTATCTGCTGGTGCTGTATTCTGTTGGCTTCTCTCTTCTGACCTACAGTGGGAATGACTCTGATTGATTGTCATAAATTTTACCCAAGTAGATGATTTGAAAGTTAGTAGACCATGAAAAGTGAAAGAAGAGAGATGGAGAGGATAGGGAACAGGAAAAAGGAAAGGAATTGCTAAGTTTCTTGCTAGCAGTGGTAGTGATAAAGAAATAAAAACCAGAAACTTTCTATTGATAGAAGCAGTCTGAAACTGCTAATTGTCACTGCTGTTCTTTAGTGTATCTTGGTTACCTTGTAAACTTTTTCTGAATCAGGTGAAAAAACATCTCTATCAGGATAAGAATTCTGTTTCTCGTCCTTTTGTGCGCTGGAATTGTGCTGCCTAACCCAGAGCAAAGAACGCTGTCAGCTGCAATGTCCACCCTAATGTAACACTGCGCTGTTACCGGGGTTATTAAAAAGAAATTATTAATGTAAATGAAGTATCAAAAAATAGCAACATAAAACAAGGTTTGTCAGGGGAAGCAAAAAAAAAAATCTGTGGAGGTATATTTTAGGGTGAGAATAAAATAGATTAAAAATCCCAGAGAAAGGAGAAGTATTTCTACCTAATCATCAGTTCATCTTATAAACTCCTCTCTAAAGCAGAAGAAGAGACTGTTCAATGTTAGCTGACCTCTCCGCTGATAGCATGCTGTCAGTCAGTAAGTGTCCAGGTGATCATGCCATAAATATATGAATATCTAATTAAAAGTTGATGTAACTGTTGTTCTGACAGTCCCCCCTCAAAATTTAGAACTTATATGTTTCATTGCAATTTTCTCAGCAGACTTTGACATATTTGAATATATTTTGGTTTGAAATAATGAAGTTAATGAGTACACCTGGACAATAATAGTATTGAAACAGGTGAGGAGTGGAAAAAAGACTTAGTTCTGAAAATAGATTATATACATGACCAATCTGTCTCCATCCTTCTAACTCCTCTTCTGCTTGGGCCTTGATTATAGAGATTTGTGACCTTTCTTTATTTCTATTTTAACATTAGAATGTTGCAGAGAACTAATGTTAGTTATGCTGTATGTAATTTTTATTTCTCATAATGAGGCTTCCAACTCTAATGGAAAAGCTTGGGACTGAGAGGCTAGAAACTAAGGCTATATGCCCAGCTTGAACACTGCTACTGAGGAAATCTATTCACTCTTTCATTTTCCCCATCTGTAAAATGGTATTGGCATTATTTATAAAACACTTCATGATCTACAGTTAAAAAGTGCTCTCTGAGAGTAAGATTGCATTAATGTCTAGACAGCATCTGTTCCGTATTATGTTTTTATTGTATTTGACATTGGGTTTCAATATCTGAACATTAAAATGATACAAACTTAAAAAAAATAAATAAATTATAGAGCTGTACAGAATGCTTTTCAGTTCTGCTGTTAATTGATGTTTGAGATTAACAAACAGATGTGGGCATTTAGAATATGAGTATGGGACACCTGGTCATTGGATTTTTCACAGTTTTCATAGATTGTATGCATGTTTGGAGTACAATTCAAAAGAACTCATCCATTTCCCTGCTTTGAGAACTTAAACCTCTCTCTCCATTTGAATTGGGTAGTATTAGCTCCTGTGTGCTGTATTGAGTTCCCTATAAGCCTTAGGAGGTGAAGTTGTGTAAGCACAGTGCTGTTCTGCCAGCCTGTTCCCTCATTCATTGTAGCAGTGCCTCTAGAATTTCTTCAGGATGGGAAAATCCCCTGTGTTTGATCTTAAGATCAGGTTGTACTAATAGCACCCAGCAAAACTGCCTCCCCAAATGCACGGATTGTAAATGTTAGTCATTAAACACAACATTCCTATCATTCCTATAAACTTAACTAGGATCCCTGTTAACAGTCCTGTGTTTTTTGATTCAGTCTTCATGAATGAGAAACCATCCATTTTTCCCTGTGCCCTCCCAGCCCACATGTGCTTTAAGGTAAGTAATAGGTCCGTCTGCTAACTTTGTAAAGAGGAAGCAGAACGTCATAGGAAATGAATGAGCAAGCTCTTCTTATTTCTCTGAAGCTAATTCTCCTGGACTCACTGACATACGCCGTTTCTTTTTCTGGGAGAAAACCTGTTTAAGTATTTCTGCTTTGGTTACGGGCTCAGCTTTAGGAGACTAAGTCCGAAAAGATGCAAGCTAATAAAAGATTCATACAGGTTGGTGGCCTTTTCCCTTTAGTTTTGCATGATATTTTACTGGGTAAAGTAGGAGATAGAGATAACCAGTTGACTTTCTCCCCACTGTGGTTGTCTTTCTGAACTCCACTGCATATCTGTGACCTATTCTATTTAGTCTGATTTATGGCAGAGGGAGCTAGATTGCTTTCTCTTCTCTTCCTATTTATGTGCATTAAGAACAGGCCTGCTTAGACTGCAATTTCTTCCCTATCTTACTGAGGCAAGATAAAACTTTACAAATATTTAGGAATGAAAAGCTGTGAAAGTTTCTTTAAAATGCTTAACTCTGAGGCTTGTTCCCTAAGGTTAGATTACTGAGGACTCAAATTCATACTCAAATTACCTTAGTTTAGCAAAGTGCTAAACATCAGCCGAATCATAGTAACTGACCTAGGTTTGCTCTTAGTCTGTTACAAGTCTAAGGTAAAATATATCAACTTAACAGCATTTGAATAGGTTACGTTCACTCTGGGTTAAAAGTACACGAGTCAGAGCCACTGCAGCTCAGCTATCATGCATTAGTCAGTGGAGCCGTGGTGGCTTCGTTGTGTCATGGACAACTCTTGATCCAGCAGGACACACAACACTTGAGTAAAAAGGGTAAAATTAGCTTCATCATATCTTTCATCCGTGACCATTAGTATCTCCTTGTTCATTCCCTCTGTAAAGTTGAGATTTGACTTTAGGTAAGAAATTATTTGAATAAAGGAGCTGCTTGGGGAAAAGTAAACAAGATCTTAGCTATTGCTAAGGAGGTTTTACCATAACAGCTTGTCTCCTATTTTCATAAGTGTTTTTTTTTTTTTTCCCTTCTGAAATTATGACACAAACTGTTCAGGATATTTTTAGCCTCAAGCACTTGCAAAATAATGTGTTGTGCTCCCACAATATAGGCTTTAAATATCATGTTTAAAAAAAAAAAACACTGTTAAATCAAGTGATTCTTTCAAGATTTCCTTTCTGCAGCTGGAGAAGCCTGCTGACTTTGTTTTATGTAGTTTATATTTGAAAACTTTGTTTATATGACAGATTCTGAAGAGGTAGTATTATGCAAGTACTAGAAATCATGATGAAACTGCAAAAATACAATAAAAATGGCAAAGTGAGACTTATTACCTCTGTGCAGTAGCAATCTGGAAGGGGTTAATGAAATGTTACTCTCCAGCTGTGGCTAGGCTGCTAATAAGAAAACAGCTGGTATGAAAAATTGCACCTGAGATAGAAAAGGGGCAGTAGCTGAGAAGGCTGCTCAGGAGAGGACTAGAGAAATTGCAGAATGTGCAGTGCTACAAGGAAGGTTGCTATGTGGGACAGCTGGAAAGAGGCCTAGGCTGGCAGAGAGGGAAGCAATACCCCCTTCTCATCATATGTCCTGTGGTTGAAATTCTGAAAGGCAGGTGACTGGCCTGCACTTCCTTACTGCATGAAGAAGAAATGTAACGAGGTCATAATTTACTGAGTCTTTGACTGGGGAGAGAGGCTCAAGGCTAGGCCTACTGTGCTGACTTGAGGTGAGCCTCCAAGCTGTATGGAGTGATGCGTTTAATGGCAATGGAAGTCCTCAGTGAAGACCCAAGGCAGCTGCTGTGGGTGTTGGTGACTTCAGAAGATGCTCAGAAGCTTTGCTTGGCCCTGCAAGCTCAGCTGAGAGCTCCTGTCTGATGCTGAACAGCTCGTGCAGAAGCAGGAGAACAGAAATGCTGGAGTTATTTTGTTTGTTGTTTATGTAAAAATTGTTGTAGAAATCTTGCTTTTCTTCATTCTCTCTTAAATTTTAACTGAGATAGTACTTTTGTTCTTCTCAAATTTGATTGAAACTTACAGAGCTGAGAAGCTTAAAAACAGTAGCACAGTAGGTTTGATTTTTGACAAGAAACTTGATTCAGTCTTTCCTATTGTAACTTCTACAGTAACTCCAACAGCAACTTCATCCTCTCTTTTCCTTCCATCCAGGCCATGTGTTTATACAATGGGATCACCAATAAACAACAGAGCCCTTTTTCCATGCCAGGAGCCACCCATTGCCTTGTCAACATGGCAAGCTACAGTCCGAGCTGCTGCACACTTTGTTGTCTTGATGAGCGGTGAAAACTCAGCAGAACCTGTCCAACTTCAAGAAGGTGAAATATATGTTCTGTAGCAAAGTATTTTAAATCATTTTATAATTAGAAATATAGTTTAGTAATCATATGATTTAAAAAAAAAAAAAGCCTTTGTCTTAAAAGCACTTAAAACATGTCTATCTTTTTAGACTTCATGTTTAAGAATGTGGTTTCCAGTGGAAACATTACTTGCTCAAGGCCTCAGGGTAACTTAGGAAGAATGCAAGGTTTTTACCTTTCAATTTTGCTACTTCTACTTACTTACTTCTGTATTTTAATTCCTTTTACCTTTTCCAAACGTGGACTTCACTCGTCATAAATTGGCTTGGTATTAAGCATGGTGCAATTAAAGATTTGGCAGATAAGAGTACCATATCAGGTTCTTGACAGCTCCAAGCCTTGGAAGGTGATTAAACCTCCAATGTTATTTCTGTGGTCCGTGAGTAGGTCAGAATGGCAATGATTGGAAGCTATCATTGTATCATATCTGTTTCCTGAAAAATATGAAATGGATGATACACATCAGTGCCCAGAAAATCTGATCTTTAGGTTTTTTGGCATTGGCAGATCATACCTTGTGCAACTGTAAGCAAGCAAGCATTTTTCTTTTGTGTTGGTTATGCTTCATTCTTTAAATCTGTCTGGAAAGAGAAGGAAAGTTTTAAAGCAGTACTGCATATAATTATACAAAGTATGTCCTGCTGCTATTGGTTTTGAGACCCCTAATGCATAGGGTCAGTATTTTCTCGGGTAAGTAGTTCTGTTGTCAGGCTTCTAAATACGTAGCTTGACTTATGGAACTAGCACTCATCTGTGTTAAGACGTCATCTTAATCATATTAATAGTTAGAATTAGCTCTCCCTACTTAGGCCTAGTTTAAGTACAAGTTGGTCTAATGCTAGCCCCAGGAAAGAAATCCTAGCTACCCACTTTCTCCTGGATGGAAAGAGCAGCACTGCTCACCTTAATCTTCTTTCATTAGTGGAGTTGCAGAAAGGCCAGCTCTGCGGAAAAGAGGAGACAAGCTGACTGTTTAGAGAGTGATGATTGCTCAGGCAGCTTAAATCTTGCACCTGGAAATGGAGGCAAGTTGAATGGGAGCGTCCATTGGGGTGAATCCAACTTGTGGGTTCACCAAGCCAGTGGTTTTACTGCACTGACTTTTAGAGGGCTGTGCTGGTGGGCAGCTAGCTTATTCCACAGAGTGGGAAGTAAACTCTAAAGGTTTTCTCTGCTTTATTCACAATTTTATTTAGGTAAGTTTAAATCCTTAAATAAATGCATACATTCTCCTTTGTAGAGGAGAAAGGAGGTGATACTTAATACTGTGTACATTTGGATAAGGTCTGCCACCTCACAAACATATACTCTAACTGTAAATAGATGAAATAAGGAATGTAAAAGGCCCCGTATGTCATCCACTCCGATAAAAGAAGATCTTGGAACTCTCCAAAAAGGTTTTTGGAAGTCTCAATTTTGCAGCCATTGAAGGTATTAATAATTAGTCGTCCTCTAAGAAGGTAGGAAAGGTGTGGGTAACAAAAGGCACAAACTTTTTTGTTAGTGTTTTAAAGTATCTTGTTTCTAAATGGTGTTAAAGAAAGCTGTTGTTTCTGAATCCCTAGAAAAGTGTACGGCAGCGCATGTCAACTGTTTTTGCTTTTTTAATAGTAAAAACATTTAGGCAAGTTCCAGGTTCACAAACCTTACAACACCTTTTTTCGTACAGCGAGGTGGTGTTGCACATCATCTGCATTGCCTCCGAAGTGATCTTTTTCCCCACCCCCTACCCCCAACCTGACCAGTTACTTTGCTTTGTTCAGCTATTAGGTAAAGTTTAAGAGTTTTTTAGCTACTACTGTGATGAAGAAATCTCTTTTGGAAATCTCGAAAGCTGTTCATCGCTTATAGTGAGGAGAGGAAGTAATCTCTCAGCACTTGCAGAGTGGGATTGATGCCTGTGTTTAGAGATGGCCAAAATGCTCTTTAAATTGATGAACATATTGAAGCATTTAAATCCTGAAAAGTAGCTCAGGCTTACTTTTGATGTATATAATTTTGCTTCCTTTTGGCCAAAAGTATTGTAGAATGCACTGATGTTTTCGACAAAGGTTTTTGTTATGTGAAAAGTATTCAGGTTGATGAAAAATAACTTACAGGAAGAGGTTAGTGTGAGATGTGTCTAAAATAAAATTTTCTCTTCCCCTTAAAAGAGACTAGAGTTTCTAAAGCTTGCATACCTAAAGCATGTTCCAAGCCTTGTCTCCAGTGTTGAAATGTGGAAAACTTATGATGAGCTGCTCAGTTCACTTGCGCAATAATGCTTTCCTGTCTTGGCATGAAGAATGCAAGAGTGCTTCTGACTGCAGACTAAGAGAACAGCTCTACCGTCATTGTGTAATTAATTTTATCCACGCTCATGTCTTGCTAATGAGTTGTTGCTTGTCAGTCTCTCAACAGTGGCTACCTGGTCTGAAATATTAAGAGCGAGGCAGATGTTCATGTGAATTTCTAGAAACAGAAGCCTGGGAATGATTTTCCAACAGTGTAAATTGGCATAGGTCAGTTAAATCAATACTATCTTAGAGCAATTAGCTATCTGAAAAGGCAGTATTGTGAAAGAATTATTTCCTTATGAGCACTGTTTTGTCAATCTGTGATTTAAAGAACCCATTAAGAATCTATACCTTTCTTTTAATTAAGGAAAAAGTAGTTGTGGGGAAAAACTTTTTTTTTTAATGCTGTTGACGGAGTGTAGAAAATGACATCAGGGTACCCTATAGTTAATGCCAAAGCTGGGGCTTAGTCACCCCCAGTCAGCCTTGTCACTCTGTGCAGAATAGAAGGCACTTTTGTTTAAATCTTTGTAGTAGCTGCAGTCAGTTTATTTTGGTAATTCATGTGTCAGTTTAAAGCTTTTTTCTTTCTTTCTTTCTTTTTTTTCCCCCCCAGAGTCTAACCTGGTATATTTCTATTCCTAAGAACTCCATAAAAGCAAGAAATACTGTAAGTCTTTAATGGAAAGGCCAGTAGAGGGGAAATGACTCATTTTAGCTTCAGTGTGCTAATGATGTGCTGAGTGAAAAGTGTGAAGTGCACTGAGAAGAACCAAATGCAGCATTAAAGCTGGCTTCTCTGGGAACCGTGTGACAATGGCAATGTTTTTTCTGCTAAACTTTGCTGAACTGAAGTAAACTGAAGCAGCAGGTCTACGTGCTGTATTTCTGCCCTTGCAGTTTTTTGTCCCCCTTTCCCCAAGATGGAATTCCCTGTGGTGTGGAAAATTCCACATATGGCTCTATGCCGCGCGCACAATTCATTAGCTATCCTAATTACGATGTCACGATATGAGGGTTGTGGAGTTTCTTTAAAAGTGCTAAGGATTGTACCTCTGTAGCTTTTCAATTACTGATGAGAGCCCCGTTATTTGGGTGCTCATCTACAGATAGAAATGACAAGTCAGTGTTAGAGAGCGTCTCTGGACTTGTAAAAAGATGTGAAACAGTTCCAGAGGAAGGAGAGGAAAGGAGCAATATTGTGAAGACTGATTGAAAAAACAAATAAACTCAAAGCTCAAGCGCTATTATGAAGCCTTGAGTAAACTCTTAATTAATTTAGAAATCCAAATTCAATTGGTTGGTAAGGAGGACTCCTAAGAGGTAAAGTTCAAAATGGTCTTGAACACTAAATGATGTGGGCCACCTGGATCTTGTCATTAGGTAATTATACATATACTCCTGAAAGCCTTTCAGGGTGGCCTGAATGAATTTTCAAAGTGTTTACATTCAGTATGCTATTGCTGTGGTGCATATTTATAAAATCATATGTAAGTGGCAGAATCCTAAAATGTATATTAAAAAAACTTGTTTCTTGGATAGGAAAAGTATTTTGGCAAGCAATTGTGAATAGGTAGCATTACAAGTTAGCTAGGTGATTGTTTTTCCTTTTAAAAATCATAAATATAAAAAGGGTACATGCAGACAACAAGAGAAGACTGGCAAGGATGATTGCCTTCTTGCTTTTAAACAGAGATCTGCTTGCTGCTTCACTGGCTTACATCTCTAAGCGCACGAATTCTGTGATTGCTATGCATAGGCTAGACTCTGTACACTTGTATGCACATAGTCCTGATTTCTCACATGTATTAGCGGGTTTTGGTAAGAATGTATTTCCTCTTGTGTGTATATGCTTACTCAAGTACAAATAGTAACCATTTGAATGCGATCTAAAGGTGTTGAAAAATATCGTGCATTCCTTATGGAGTATTTAGAGTGGAAAAAGAGTTTCTGTAAAACAAGGCAACTGATGATGCCCTTGGAGAAAATGTTTTACAGGAAACAATATGTATATACATGTGTGTGTGTGTGTATGCATGTGTGCCTGCAAATTTTATATGTGTGTGTGTGTATATATATGTATGTATATGTAATGTGAACCATTTAACCATCGGGGGTTTTTTTCCAACACCTGCCAGTGTTGCTTTCTGTCAGCATATTAACATAGCGTACACAATGTGTAAATATATTTAGTCACCGACACCTTTACATTCGTTCTGATTCATGTTCAAGAAATCCAGTGGCTTGCTCATTGTGTGATTTCCCCACCCTCATGTAGTCCAGGAGTTTCTATCTTATTTCAGTTTGATTCAAACTAGAAAAAGATGTGTTCTGTTAGTGGTAAGAAATCTGGTGCTAGGGACGTCATCACCCATGTTGTAGCTGGTGCCAGCAAGCTCTTCACGCTGCACCTGTCATCTTTCACAAGCAAACAGTCCAGTGCTCGTGTTGGTTGATGTCCAGCCTGGATCAGGTATTACAGCGTGTGGAGTTGCCAGCTCCCCCACGTGCTGCTGTGCCCTCTGTGCCAGGGAGGAACTGCTGTGCTGGCATGAGTATGAGGGTCTGCAGTGGCAAGTGCTGGCTTTTAAGGAAGATCAAAGAGCTCTTCAGGTTTCAAGGTGTTTTTAAAAAGCTAGAGGGTGCTTAATCCAGGTGCCCCGGCCAAATAGTAGTTTGAGGATACGTATTTTTTATTTAGCTGTAGTCTTGTGTACTACTGCTAGCTCTCATTTGGTATAGCAAATGCTGAGTGGTGGTACTGTGCCTTCTAAACAGCCTCTTTTACACTAGAGGTGAGGTAAGCAAGTTGTGATTTTTAAGTAAATCAAATATACCATCCATGTTTTGTGGTGGTCATATTTGCGTTACTGCAAACTATTTGAGGGGAAAGATGTTAATAAGCAAAAACATTTTAATTTTCTTGCATCAGGTGATAAGAGATATTAACTCTCAGGTGTTTCTTTAGTTGTAATGGACTCAGCAAGACTCAAGCAATTTTTAATGGCTTCCAAGATAGTTAAATGCATTAAAAATTCTAGGAAGTAATTACCTCATTATTATTTCAAGTACAGAAATAAATTGCCTTTAAATTGGTTTTTGCACACTTATAAATAGCTTATAATTTCCTACTCTTGCTAAATGCACTCCTAAATAATTTTGAATGGGATATTTTCCAGTTGTACCTCATACAATAGGTGATTGTTTTTGCATGGTTTGTGCAATTATAACATGATAGATTTGTCTTAAAGAAGAGGGGAAAAAAATCAATTTATGGAAAATGATTTTTCAAAGTTACCTGTCGGAAAATATTGAGTTGCCTAAAATAATTATATATAGGCAACATGTTGCTGTTAAATCAAGATTGGTTGTAGGGAGAGGGAATAAGCATTACAAATAAAGGAATGGGGTGCTCTCCCACTACTTTTCCCATGGGATAAACCCTCCCTAATCTCTTGGTCTTCCCAGAGTGTCCTTGCTTAGCCTGAAAATGTTTTGTTTGTTTGTTTTTTGGGGAGTGGTGGTACAAATGCTTTTTTTAATGAAGAAAAGGTAGCCATTTCCCCACTTCAGCTGCACTGCTTTCCTTTTCCCTTGAGGTGGTGCTGTCTCCAAGGGAGCCAGTGGAAAGAGCGGGGAAACAGGGAAAAAGGAAAGAAAGGAAAACAAGTGGAACATGGGAGAGCACAGCATGGTAGGGATATAGCTGAAAGAAAACAAAGCAAGACCCACTGGTCTGAAGAAAGTTAAGGAAAGGAATTGGCGGTATGGAGAAAGAGGGAACTGAGAGACACAGCCTTACCACTGAGAGGATAGGACAGAAGATATGTGAGAGCTGAACTCTGAAACGGGACTTTGTAGTGGTTGCTGTCAAAAAATGTTGCCTACATAAAGACCAGTTCGGTCACTGATCAGTAAACACATTATAGAGGGAACCTGCCTATCATGCCAATGCATTGGATTTCTTTTCAGTTCTTCAAAGCACAACAACTGTAGGATAAATACATAGTTTTCCTACAAAGGGCTAGGGTATGAATGGAGAAGGCACCTAAAAGCTCTGCAGGGTGAGCCCCATTTGGATGTATAAATCTTAGGTCTTGTACTGGGTGTGTTATGGTCTGTGTAATGCCCAGAAAAAAAGTAGGGAGCTTGGAGAAGAGTGAAGGATCGGTATGTCAGCTGCTTTTCTTTTCGTTAAGAAATCCTAATGTAAAGAAGTGTGAAAGCCCTCTCCGAGAAAAACTAACTTCCTTTGTGTTTGGTGCTTCCAGGCTTTTGCAAGCTTTGCCCCGGCTCCCAGTAGCATATGTTGGTTGGTAATTCACGTAAACTTCTGAATGCAGTACATGCTGTTCTGCTCTCCAGACCACTAAGGAGACTCCCCATTCCCTTTAACATTCTGTTCAAATTACGCGTCTTGTTTTTGAAGCGCTCTGTAGTCTTGCCTGCTCCAGCCTGTCTTGCTAAACTCGTTTCTTACTGTAACCCTCTCCGCTCCTGCTGTTTGCATAGCACAGACCTCCTCCCTTTGCTTTTAGACAATCTCTTCAGTGTTGTGAGAGCTTTCTTCTCTACTCCCCCTGCCGCCTGGAACAGTTTGCTGTGTTGCTGCTTCTTGACTTTCAGGCTTGCTTCAGAACCCAGCTGAAAACACACTGCTGTTTTTCCTTTAAGATTCCTCAGATTTTCTCTCTTCTTTCGCTGCTATTTAACGCTGAGGTTTTACTAGTACCATAACTACATGCAGCATTTTGTAATGCTTCTAATTTAACAGTGGTACACAAAGTGAAGTACTGTAGACTGCCTCTGGGCCTGTTCTCATACCTGGTTAAGTCAATGGCCAAGCCGTGTTCAGTGAAACTCTCAACGTTAAGAGTTTAGTATTTCAAAA